TTTTTTTTTCTGCTTATGTGGTGCTGAGGAATCGAATCCAGGGCCTCATGCATGCAAGGCAAGCACTCTACCACTGAGACACCTTCCCAGCCCCTCCTGCCCTCTAATTCTTGAGGCTAGGTGATAGTGCTTGGAAATAGTCTCTAGATAGATAAAACTATTACTTTACCTTCTCTTCTGCTCTACCATTTTATTGATGATCTCTCTTTTTTGGAGGGGGTCTGGGGGGGAATCCAGAGTTTGAACTCATGGCCTCATAGTTGATTGGCTTGCTTGCTCTACAACTTGAGCCAGCACCTGGTTAATGTCAATCTTTAAAGATTAGATTTAATTTTTTCAAACACTTAATAAGGATACATGCCTTCTACCCTGTCACAGAATTCATCCTATTAGTCTTTTTTGTCCTAGAGATTAAATGCAGGGCTTGAGTGCTATCTCTAAGCTCTTTTTCGAAAAGCTAATGCTTTACCACTTGAGCCACAGCTTTACCCCAGCTTCTTTGGTGGTTAATTGGAGAAGTCTTACAAACTTCCCTGCATGGGCTGGCTACCAATCTCATATCTCAAACCTCCTGAGGAGCTAGAATTACAGGTGTGAGCCACCATCACCTGACTCACTTTTTTTTTTTTGGGGGGGGGGTGGTTGTGGGTCTTGAACTCTGGGCCTGGGTGCTGTCCCTCAGCTCTTTAGCTCAAGGCTGGCACCCTATTACTTGAGCCACAGGTCCAACTTCCAGTTTTCTGGTAGTTAATTGGAGATAAGAGTCTCTCGGACTTTCTGAACTGCAATCTTCAGATCTCAGCCTCCTAAGTATCTAGGATTACAGGCGTGAGCCATTAGTGCCCAGCATTTTTTTAAACAAGGAATTTCTAAAAAATTTAATACAAAAATATTCAAGTTAGCAGAACTGAGTACTAAGATAGGACATTTTAGAAGCATGCAAAGAAAATTTCATCAATCTTGTTTTTACCTAGTTATCCTTATGAGGAAGCTGTCCACTTCTTCCAGAACATTGGGAGATAAGAAAGTTGAGAAGTCTGCAGATCCTGGTGAGAGAGAAAGTGGAGGCATATGCTGCAGCGCCTTCCTAGAAAAATAACATGTAAAATCAGAAAGAAGCCTGGCATGACATTAGACAACATACACTGTGTTGGTGAATACCTTAAAAGCAGACAGCATTCCCAAGAGAAACTTGTATACAATATAAGCTAGAAATTTTTCTTCAGGAAAATACTATATACTTTCATAGGGCTCCATTTTTTCCCTAAGAGTTCCACTGCCTTCTGTAAAAGCTTTGTCAACTGTCTAGAACTCAGCATTCATTTGAAGTAATGAGGACACAAGACACAAACTCTAAATAAAACTCTAGAATTCTTAGAGAGAATTGATGTTGAGCATTTCTTCATATTCTATTGGTCATTCTTATTTCCTCTTCGGAGAAGTCTCTCTTTAAGTCTTTAGCCATTTATTAATGGGGCAGTTGTTTCTTTGAGGATTTGTTCTGGGTGATTTAATTTTTTGAGTTCTAAGTATATTTTAGATATGAGGCCCTTGTCTGTTGTATGGCTAGTGAAGATCTTCTCCCAATTTGTGAACTTCCTATTGATCTTGCTAGCTATGTCTTTTGCCATGCAGAAGCTCTGCAGTTTCATGCAATCCCATTTGTCCAACCTTTCTTTTCGATTTTGTTGTGTTTCTGGGTCTTTATTAAGAAAATTTCAGCCTGTGCCAAGGAGCCCTAGTTTCTCCTATTCCTTCCTGTAATTTTTTTCAGGATATCTGCTTTTACCTCAAGGTCTTTGATCCATTTGTAATTGATTCTGGTACAGGGTGATACATAAGGATCTATCTTTAGTTTTCTACAGACATCTAACCAGTTTTGCCAATACCATTTACTGAAGAGGCTATCTTTCTTCCATACTATTTTTTTGGCTCCCTTATTGAAGACTAGGTGGCCATAAGTCTGCAGGTTCATTTCTGGGTCTTCAGTTCTATTCCAGTCCTCAGGTCTGTTCTTATGCCAGTATCAAGCTGTTTTGATTATTATAGCTTTGTAATAAGAGTTTGAAGTTTGGTATTATATTCCTCCTACTGCTAAGGATTGTTTTTGCTATTTGGGGTCTTTTATTATTCCATAGGAATTTTTGGATTGTTTCTATTTCATTGAAGAAGGATGTTGGGATAATGATGGGTATTTCATTGAATCCAAGAGACAGAAGAATGTGTGGCTCAGTAAGATGTCTGTTTTATATAAATAGGTGTCATGAATATTATTTTACTTTATTTTTTTTGGGTCTGGTTGTGGGGCCTGAACTCTGGGCCTGGGCGCTGTCCCTCAGCTCTTCAGCTCAAGGCTAGCGCTCTATCACTTGAGCCATAGCACCACTTCCGGCTTTTTGTTTTCTGCTTATGTGGTGCTGAGGAATCGAACCCAGGGCCTCATGCATGCAAGGCAAGCGCTCTACCACTGAGCCACCTTCCCAGCTCCTCATGACTTTTATTGTTTCCTAAACAGATCAGTACTATCACATTCAGCATTCCTGCCTTGTTTCTTGTCCTTTTTATCTTGATGACTGCTTTTTGTTTTATTTTTTGTTTTGCAGTGGTGAGGTAGAATCCAAGGCCTTGAAACATGCTATGCAAGCACTCTACCACTGACCTACATCCTTAACATATTAATATGTTTTAATATTTCTCTTCTCTCATCTCTTGCAGTTATTATTTTGAATTTTCCAACAGTGTTGCCTTCTCTGATTAGTGGTCACTTAACAAATTCATGCAATAAATAACTTCTGAGGGCTATTACATGCAATTTGAAGCCAGCCTAGTAAAAAAGTCCACAATACTCTATCTCCAAAATAACTAGCAAAAAGCTGGACTGAAGCATGGCACAAGTAGTAGAGCACCATCAAAGCAAGCTATTTCAGAGTGCAAGGCCATGAGTTCAAGCCCTGGTACTAGACACACATATCAAAAGATGTTTTCTAAGAATAAGTCAAAGAACACATAAGCTTGGGGCTGGGAAGGTGGCTCAGTGATAGAGCGCTTGCCTTGCATGCCTGAGGCCCTGGGTTCGATTATGCATCACGTAAGCAAAAAGAAAAAAAGCCAGAAGTGGTGCTGTGGCTCAAGTGGTAGAGCGCTAGCCTTGAGCTGAAAGAGCTGAGGGACAGCGCCCAGGCCAAGAGTTCAGGCCCCATGACTGGACCCCCCCCCCAAAAAAAAAGAACACATAAGCCAGATTGAAGGGGCTATCACCAGCTAAATCTGAAAGTCTGAGTATTAAAATTGTTAATTGAATACAGTGACTAGGAATCAATTAAATCCTTACTAATAAAATTAGAAATTTGATGATAGAGGATATTCACATAGTCCTAAAGTACCTCCTAACAAAATACTCAATTGCAAAGGAAAAAGTTATTTTACAGTAGAAAAAGCTGGCAGATGATGTTAGTTAAATGAGCAAAGTTAACATCACTGGCCCCAGAAACAGGATAATCTGAAATTGTGTGCCTTCTGATGGGATGTGATAATAATACAATATCATTATGATATCTGCTAAAAATATAAAATCTAGCAAGTCATAGTAGTGGCATGCCTGTTGAAGATTCAGGAGGTAGAAGAAGAAGGCTTCCTTCTTGATGATGAGTCCAAGGCTAGCCTGGACTGCAAAGCAAAACCTTACTTGAAAAAAAATAATAAAAACCCTAAGTTTTCATGATGAAACAACAGATATATCAGAATTATAGGTTATTCTTCAAAATAACTTGACCTAGTTTGGCATAGGGTAGGAGGATCACAAGTTTAAGGCTACGCTAGTCTATATAATAAGACGCTGTCACAAAACAAAACAAATGAAAACTCAAATGACCTATCTTTTTCAAAAGTGTCAAGGTCAGCCAGATATCAGTGACTTTTTTTTTTTTTGGTCTACTACTGAGCCACCTTCCCAGCCCCTATCAGTGGCTTATACTGTAATCCTAGCTACTTAGGAGGCTTGAGATCTGAGAATCAAGGTTTGTGGGTTTTTTGTTGGTTGTGGGGCTTGAACTCTGAGCCTGGGTGCTATCCCTCAGCTCTTCAGCTCAAGGCAAGCACTCTACCACTCTACCAAAGTGCCACTTCTGGTTTCCTGAGTGGTTTATTGGAAATGAGAGTCTTAAGAGTTTCCTGCCTGAACTGGCTTTGAACCTTGAGCCTCAGATCTCAGGCTTCTGAGTAGTTAGGATTACAGATGTGAGCACTGATGCCTGGCTAGAATCAAGGTTTAAAGCCAGCTCCAGCAGAAAATTCTGAGAAACTCTATCTCTGATTAAACAGAAAAAATGCTGGTCTGAAAGCATAGCTCAAGTGGTAAAGCACCAGTGTAAACAAAGAAACAAAGCAAGAGTGTGAGGCCCTGAGTATGGGCACTGATGGCTCATGCCTTGCTGTAAATCCTACTGACTTAAGAAGTTGAGAGCTGAAGATCTAAGTATGGCCCATTATGAGCACCAAAAAGTGTCAAGGTCTAGGAAAGGCTGAGGAATTGTTTCCAAGTTAAGGAAACTAAAGATATAACAATGTAATGCAAATTATGACTCTGGACTGGATCCTTTGCTACAAAGGACATTATTGGGATGATTTGTAAAACCTGAATGGAGTCTGAGGATTAGATGGCAGCAACGTATACTAGTGGTTAATTTCCTGATCTTGATGGTTGCTAGAAAATATTGTTTGTAGGATATACACACTGAAGTGTTTAGGGACACTGGGGTATCAAGCTAGTAAACTGCCCTCAAATGACTGAAAAAGAAATAAGAATTCCTTGTGTTATACTTGCCATGTTTCTCTGAGTTTAAAATGGTTTAGGAAAGAAGAAAGAGTCATGGTCAACTCTTACTCTTCAGATATGGCTATTGCAAGACTAACAGAATTATTTGCTGAATGTTTTATTTTAATAGTGCTAGCTGCCAGGCACTGGTGGCTCATGCTTATAATACTAGCTACTCAGAAGGCTGAGGTCTACGAATCATGGTTTGAAGCTAGCCTGGGCACCCAAGTCCGTGAAACTCTTATCTCCAATTAACCACCAATAGGTGGAGCCATAGTTCAATTGGCAGAACATTAGCCTTGGACATCAAAACTCAAGGACAGAACCCAGGCCTTGAGTTCAAGCCTAAGGATCAGCACCAAAAACAAAAACTGAGAGGGTGGGGGAGGGGAGAGAGAGAGGAGGGGGGAGAGAAGGAGGGGGGAGAGGGAGAGAGAAAGAGAGAGAGAGAGAATAGTGCCAACAAAGATTAAAAGATGGCAAAAAAAAAAAAAGCTAAACACTGGCAATTTACTTTTAGCTAATACTTTGACATTCTATTAGCTGGGCACTGGTGGTTCATGTCTATAATCTTGGTTACTCAGGAGACTAATATTGGAGGATAACAGTCCCAAGCCGGCCTTGGTAGGAAAGTCTGTGAGATTCTTATCTCAAACTAACCACCAAAAAAGCCAGAAGTAGAACTGTGTGTGGCTCAAGTGGTAGAGTGCTAACCTTGAGCCAGAACACTCAGAACAGTACCCAAGCCCTGAGTTCAAGCTCCAGGACTGGAATATTTAAAAAATAATAGTGCCTATTAATCAGTTTTTTTGTTTTGTTTCATCAGTCATGGGCCTTGAACTCTGGGCCTGAGCACTTCCCCTCAGCTCTTCAGCTCAAGGCTAGTGCTCTACCACTTGAGCCACAGCACCACTTCTGGTTTTCTGATGGTTTATTAGAAATATGAGTCTCACGAACTTTGCCTGGGCTAGCTTTGAACCGTGATCCTCAGATCTTAGCCTCCTGAGTACCTAGGATTATAGGAGTGAGCCACCGGCCCCCATCGTATTAATCGGCTTTGAACCTACATACAACACTAACATTACTATTAAAGCTGCCTGTTTTTGTTGTTTGTCACTTTTTAGAATTTTTTTTTTCTTTTGGCCAGTCCTAGGGCTTGATCTCAGGGCCTGGGCACTATCCCTGAGATTCTTTTTTTTTTTTTTGTCAGTGGTGT